CAATTTAAATTAAGATGATGATGATAATAAAATTAATAATAATATTTTTATGGGATCTCCTTTCCCTCTTGTTCATGTCACAGACAGATACACAGGGGAATTAAGAAGAACAGCAGCTCTTGCCCAGGTTTGCCTAGCATTCTCGTCCTTTGAAACATGTCTATGAAAGTACCTCTTACTCAGCTTTACTACAGTCCCATTCACTTTCATCTCTCTTCAAAGGAGATTTCTCCATGCTTTTGATTATCTCAGTCATACTTTCATATTTCCCTCTATGCTGAAGCAAGCAGATGACCAGCACATGACTGCCAACTGCCAACCCCTTGCACTTCAAACGCCCTTCAACCCCCTAAAAGCTCATTTTTCTTTTAAATGCCACAAGTCCTCACTGAGGGGTCTAGACTGACTCCAGACCAAGTTATTTAATACTCTAGAGGGGCTACTCCCAAACTGTAGGAATTTCAGCAATGTTATATAGAAGACAGCCCTGGGACACTTCACCACTATCGAGCATTAGATCTGGCTGCTCATCCCTGCTCCTTTGGGGCCTCTCTGTATCCTCCAGCCAATCTCCTCTTTTTCTGTGCTGTTAGCGTGGACCTAACATTGTTCTTTGCAGAGAACATTCTCTTCTTTTCAACTCATTCCAGCTTCCTGTTGGCCACAGGGTTCCCAACTCTCAACTACACATTTTAACAATTGCTGGAAACCGGAGTCCTGCAGGGAACCTTTTATTTTAGCAGAGTACATTTTTTGTCCAGTTAGATAAAATATCTCCTGGAAAAAGAACCTAACAGTTTTAGATCCCTTCCTTTATTTAACATTGAGGAATGTGTATGGAGATGATACTTTACAGGTCATTCAGAGTAAGATTCGAGGCATAAATTAACAGGTCCTCAGGCAATGACATTCTGATGTCCAAACCACAGAGAGGGACAGACCTGGTGGAATTTCCAGGAAGCCTTACTGGTCTCCACAGAAATCACCGAATCCCTTCTTGCTCAGGAGACCTGACTGCTGGTACCTGCAGTTCTCTGATTACTGATCCCCTCTGAGGCTCTCCAGCCTGTGCTGCCCTTTGGCCTTGGCTGGCACACTGCCTGCTGCTCTTCCTTGGCCCTGAAACCAGCTGGGAAGTACCAGCCTTGCTCCATAACCTCCACAGCACTGCAAGGAGTCCAGACCCATCGTCTCTGAACAAATGGGGAAGTTATTGTAGCAACAAAGAGTCATTTTCTCCTTATGAACCTACTTGGTCCTCAGTGTGAACTGCTAGAGCCGATTAAAGCCAGGCAGAAGTCTTTACTTGGGCATGAACTGAAGATGGAGCAGAGAAAGCAGAGGCACCAGACAGAAGCTGCCTTGCAAGACTAATTTTAGTGACCTGTGTTTATGGTTCTTCCACAGGAGATGGATGCAAGAGCAGGGTGTTAGCTTTGCTAAACCCCAAGCCAAACACAGCCTCTGCTTCTGGTCCAACCCAAAACCTTTTAAATCCTCTTTCACCTAAGGGTCCAAAACCATTGGATGTGGCTGTCTGGTTAATAACACCACCACCTTTATGCTTTGGATGAGATACGAGCGAGTCACCACATCAGAACCCATGACTGGAGTGAGGACACAGCATTACTCATGCCCTACTCTTCCTGTAGAATCCTCCCACACCATGTGTACACGGTGTCTTCTTATTTCATCCAGCTGAAGTTCCATCTCTTTCACACCGTTTCTATCCCTAAATTACTATTTACAACAGAATTCTATTGAAGATAGAATATGGGCTAAAGTTTCCCTATTATTTCTTGTTCTTTCAGTGAGAACTATTGCTACACAGGCAAACATGAGACCTACTCTGCTCCAAGCCAGCCTGGAGAACAAAAACAGAAATTCCTGGAGACAAGCCAAACAGGAACACTCTGCAATTTCAAGTTCTGGGCTCAATTTTAAAAACAAGAGTAAAAACCAAAGGCAGGATCAAGGCAGGTGAAGTTTAACTCTCACAGTGTCCCCATCTTATCAGTGAGCATCTACAGCACAAGGTTTAATTCTCTTTCTTGTGGATGTATTGTCATAAATGATGGGAACGTTTGATATTTACATACTAAGTTCACTGTCCACACCATTCAAGCTAAACTACAAGTTTAGACAATAAGTTCCAAAATGAAACAAAATCTGAATTGAGACAATGAGGATAATAATGATGATAATGATAATTATTATTATGATAATCATTATAGTAATATTTTTATGGGGTCTCCTCCCTCTCTTGTTCATGTCATGGAGAGACAAGCACAGGATTAGGAACAGAAGATGTGACTAAGCCAGTGCTTCTGGAGCTGGGTGAGAGCACCTTGACCTGACCCCAAATGCAGTTCCCAGATCTAATCACTAAACCACAGAGGATGTCTGCGCCAGGAATGTTTAGTTTACAAGTCAAAACAGAGCCTAACTGCCAGCATGGATAGCCCATCCACTGGGTCTATCCTACCATTTAATATATTATTCATCTTAATCTTGCATGACACAGGCCTTGAAATCAGAGCCTGGAGGCCAGAAGGGGTGAAAAGGCAAGGTTGATGAATGGTAAAGCAACGTCCACACCCTGCTTTGCTTTCCTGAGTTCCTGCCCTGAGGATGCCTCCCTCAGCTGCCAGCCCAGGTGGATTTGCATGGTCCAGTGGAGACTGCTGCTTCTCTGCACCTGGCTTTGGGTGTTGCCATTATCGTGAAATCATAGAACCATTCAGGTTGGACAAAACCTCTAGGATCATCAAATCTAACCCTTAACCACCCATGTTCACCACTAAACCACTTCCCCAAGTGCCACATCCACATGACTTTCGAACATTCTAGGGAGGGTGAACCAGACCCTGAGCTTCTGTGTCCTCCTGCCCTGCAACAGCAGACACTCAAAGCAGCCCATAAAACACCCACCTGAGCCCCAGTGTCTCAACTCTGGTAGTTAACAGTAGTTAACCACTAGTTAAACTCTTAAGAGCAATTTTCTCCAAGCTACTTCTAAACTTCTTTATTCTGGGCACCAAAGTATGAGACTGGAGAGTGTCCAGGATACAAAAGTCCCTTTGAGAAATGGATACCTGTGAAGATCACTCAAGTACAGATTTAAAAACTCTTCCCTTCAAAGCCTGTGGCAGTTCTGGCAACTCCTGTTCCTATGAACATAAACCTCTGATTCTATCCAAAGCCAAATGGCTGCCCCACTCCATCCCTTCTGCCTCTGGAACACACCGTGGCCTGTGGGGGAACAGAGCTATTTTGGCTGCCAGGCACTTAAATAATTCCTTGTGTTTGTTCTGAGAAAGACCATCTCCATCCAGCATTGCTTGATGGAGTTGATGTGTGAAAGATCAAGCAGGTTATAGCACTGGGACTCAGTCCAGAAAGAGCGGAGAAATGTTCTGCCAGCATTGTCACCTTGTGCTTATCTATAAAACATTCCATTTCCAGCAAGTTCCCACGGTAGGCAAGAAATGTGAGACGGCAGCTTCCCTCACCCACAAGCTTAAACACCTTCCTTCCCCTGCCTCTCACTGCCATTCCTACCAGCTAACACGACCTGTGTAGCTCCACCTGCTGCAAACCCCTCGGGATCAGATTAAAAATCCCATTTTTCTCCCTCTGCAGACCTGTCAGCGTTCACCACAGCCAAAGGGCACCGGCAGCATTGACAACCCCTGCTCGGTCCCAGCTGCTCTGGGGAGGAGCTGTGCCGGTGCAGACCAGGGACAGCTCTGGCCTGAAGCACCTCAGCATCCCAGCTCTGCTTGGTCCTGTTCACCCTGCTGGAACAGCATGATGAGACTCTCTCTCTGACTGCAGCCTAGGCTCAGGGAAAAGGGCTTTGAGATTGGGCATCCAGACACGTTTTTCTTGTTGTAGGGAAGAACCTCTCAATGGAATTTTTCAGAGACAGCAACCAGAACAAAATCCAACCCTCTTGGTACCTCAGAATTTCACAAGGGTTCAGAGATGATCAAAGGAATTATTTCCCAATAGCAGATTTACTCGACAAGTATATAATGTTCTATTTCACTCAGATCCCAAGCTCCATCCAAGTCCCCGTTGGACTGTCCCTCTTCACACAGCACAGCACCACACACTGACCCAAGGGACTCTGTGATTTTGTACCCTAGATAAGGATTTTGAAGCCTGTCCAAGCTGAATCACGGTTCAAGCTCTTGAGTAAATATTTCAGTGACAAAACAGAATTGTTAAACCCTTTGCTATGAACTACCATGTTAAAAAAAACCCCAAACTTTCATCATCCGCAAACCTCAATTTTCCTACCTGCAAGAGAAGGATGATGGCTCTTGGCTCCCGGGGTGTTTCTAGGATTAGACAATGTCTGCTCAATCTACATTAATGTAGATTTTGGTATTTTGTGTTATTGCTCCTGTCACATTACAGAAAGGTCAAGGAACATTCCATGAGTCAGAGCATTTCCACAGCATTAGTGTAGTCCTCAGAGCTTAGCCAGGCTCTGTATTTGGATAAAGCCCACCACAATACCACTCTTTAAAGATCCCAACATACGTCAGAGTGGCAGCCCTTTCCTGTCACTGCCTCATCTCTGTGTTTAGGATAAGCAGCACTTGGAAGATGATGCTGAAATTAAAGCAGGGAAAGAAAACAAAGCAAAACCACACATACAGGGCAGGGGGAGGGGCGTATAGAAAAAGGGTAAAAAGAAAGGAAAATCTTCTCAGAAAAACTCAGGCCATTAGAGAACATCCAGCCAGAGTCAGAAGGCAGGGAAAGATTATGTAGAAATGAATGTAGGGAAAAGTGAGTCTCCCAGCTCTTCTTCTTCAGTTAGAAACCTTCAGCAGGAACCTCCTGCCAGCCCAGCACCTCATGTAGAACAGCACATTTCCAAACATTTCATAAAACACTTGGAAATATTGAGGACCTTATATATCCTCCAACAAAAATACAAAGTTTTTCCGGGGAAAGCATTGATTCATTGATCCTGCAATCCTTACCTGGAAAACTCTTTCACTCCATGAACTGAAGATGGGGCTGCAGCCCTGATTCCTAGCACCCTGTCCCCTGGCTGGAGACATTTTCCTTGGCTCACCAGCCAGCGGGGAGATCTGCTGCCTTATGATGGAAGAGCCCTGCTAACCAGCCAAGTCTCAGACTCTCTGAGCTCTCTGCCACAGAGCTCAAAGCGAGCCAGCTCAAAGTCCTGAAAATGCTGACTTTAAACCAATCAAACTGCAGGTGGCAGGAAATTCCAGCACACCGGAAGCAGCGTCAAGCCAGGCAAAAATCTCATCTGAGACTTTTTGTCTCCCCACCCTTGGCCTTGAGTACTCCATCTCTGCATCCCTTATCTCTTGCTTTGCAACACAGATGCCCCATCTCCTCTGCACCCTCTACCACAACAGCTTTAACACCCCAAATTACCCACTGCAAACACCCTATATATCCTCCAGCTCATAACACTGATCCCCAAATTTCTACAGTTCTTCTTCCTGTACTCTCTGCAATGTCCTTCCCTTTTCCACACCCTCTCCTTTTCACCACACCACTTTCATTGCTGATCAACATCCCAAATCACAGACACCCCAAATCACAGACACCCCAAGCTTATTGCACACTGAACACCCATCCAAAGTTCTTCTCTGCTGCAGATTTTCAGTACTTTCAGCTTGTGGCTGCTGGTTCAAGATAATCCACTGCTGGCCAACCACCCCACCCCCGTGTGGTCAGGAGGGCAACATCAAGGCATGACAGGATGCCAGTTCTGTGCCTAGGACACAGGAGGGTGTCGAGGTGAAAGAGCAACATGTTTAACATAATAGGCACAAAAACATTGCACTGTAGACTGTGTGTTGCAGGGTCTGTGCTCCACTTGGAGCTTCCAGACTGCTGTTCAAGGAAATTGCCATCAATGTCAGGCTCACCACCACTATTAGACATCTCATCCATGTCCAGGCCCAGCTTGAACCCATTTAACTTGTAAAGGATAATGAGATAACAGCATGACATGCAGCAGCTGAAGATTATTTAAACACCCATCTGGTACCTGTTATGCAGCATACGTCCTATTGTTGTATAGGAAATATATGCCACCTCCCTCCCACATGGAAAGGAGAAAATCTATAGATGTATCTCCTGCTACCCCTTCTTTTTGCACAGATGAGGTAATTCTCCTTCTCTGTGCTGTTCTTCCTAGCATATCACTTTGCATTTCCCATCTGTGTTTTGGGAGATGCAGTCCCTTCCAAACTGTTGAGACTTTATGAAAACGCACAAGAGCACAATGAAAAATTTTCTCAGGACATCTCACCCCCTTCACATATCAGTCAGAAAGGACTCTGCCATGAAACTGATTCACCCTTTGACACAGCGTGGCACTAGCCTGGATAAAGGCCAGAGAGATTCAGGAGTGACATGTCTGTGTTTGTTGGACCACACTGATTTTACAGGGGAATGGTGAAATACCTGCTGAACCCTGAGACGTGGGCAAGGCAACCTGCTCACACTTTAATTCACATGGACAGACGAGAATCTGCAGATCCCAGCTGAACAGCCTGATTTCTTTATCCAAACTCTCCACCTTCTTTTGTAGGATGACTGGCTGTTTTGCTGAAATGACCCTCATAGCTCTGGCTCTCTGTGATCCCTCAGCAGCCGCGGGGTTGTTGTGTATCCCAAGAAATCACGTTTCACAACGCAAGCTGTCAGCTCTGCAGATGGGAGTCCACACTCCGCTGTTTTTCTCAAGCATGACTCAGTTATCTGCAAAAACTGTTCTCCCATGTAAATCCTGGAGCAAACCCTGTGTCTGACGCCCCATCTAGTGTTCAGCACGGACAGATGCAGAGAGGTGCAGAGGAAAGATGTGACTGGAGAATTCCTAGCATTTTCAGCGGTATTAAAACACCTTTATAAAACTCATTTGTCTCCAAGAGAGAGAGCTCGGAGAGAGTCCAAGCGACATGGATTCCTGCATATCCCACTGCCAGCTCCTTCCTCTGGACTCCCTGCAGCCTCTGGGTGTCCAAGTGGAGACAGCAGCTGGAAAGTCCTGGAAACTCAGCTCCTTCTGTGGTTGGCAGCCCACCCCGGGGCTTGGGGGACACATGGGCAAGCCCAGCAATGAAACCCATTTCAGCCTTGGAATGAGGAACCAAGAGTCGATGGCAGCTGACAGCCTGGACTCTCTCAAGCCGGGAAAAACGGCATCTCCCGGCTCTTCGGCAGTCGGCAGCACTGGCTGCTCTTGTCAAGACAGTCATCAAATCTTGAGCAGGTATTTTGAATACTAAATAACGCTGCTCAGTGTTTTTCCAATGAAATTTTTTAAATGAAATGGGAATTACTGAAAAGTGCGTTTCACGATTTTTCGATTTTTTTCCATGAAAAGAAGTGTCTGTTTTTTTTCATGAAAACAAACAAACAAACAGACAAACAAACAAACCCTTTTCCGCTGCCTGTCCTTTGGAAACACGGGGGGCGGTTTTTGTGGTGGGGAGATAGTGAAGCTGTCAGGACAAAAAAATCTGCTCTGAGGATTTAGTTTTGATACAGCAGTTTTCTGACACATTCAGTGCTGCGAATTGCAGAGCACCAAGCACTGCTACGGAAATCCTCGGGCTGTGTAATGTGTGCACGACCGCTCGAAATTAAGCCCAAAACAAGCATCTCTGTGTTCTCCGTTAATCACCCGGCCAATTAGCACCTTGGTTACGATGCTGAGAGGTTCCAGTCTTCCTCCCATCAGAGCTGGGATTGTTCTAGTGAAACTCTCACTCTGCCTATGCAATGCTTTGTTCCCAACACTTTCAGTTCTCCTGCAGCAGCGTGGTAAGTCTGTTAACTCATTAACACCTCCAGCTTACAGGAGACTTGGCTTCCAGCCCCTTTCAGCCCCGGGCTCTACGCTCCAGGAAGTTTTTCTTCAGTTTCTGTTTTGGTTTCTTTTCCTGCTGAGTTAGGCTGGCAGTCAGCTCTCACCATGAAGCTCCTGAGGGCTGCTGTAATCTTTGTTGTTGTGCCCACTCTGACGCCGGCTTTTGACCCTCTCAGCGCTTCAATCGTTGCGGCGAGCGCTGCCGTGACTTGGCATCTCCTCTCCTCCGAATCCTGGCTCAAATGCCGCTTCCAGGAGTGCTGCAAGAAGAACGGCACTCTGAACTTCACAGGTGAGGCAGTGGCAAGGGCAGGTGGGGCCAAGCCGGTGTTCCTTGGCAGGGTGGTGGGAGCTTCCTTTGGGGCTGTGGAAGATAAGGGTTACCACCCCAGAGGCTGCACTGACCTCATATTCCTTATCCCACAAGAAGTTGTGTACCCCGCTTCTCTGAGCGTTTTCCTTGCTGATTTCTCGGTTTATATTGGCAGAAATGGGCTGTGCTGGTTTATGGCACCATCAGGGTGGCAAATGCAATTGACAGGCCTCATCAATGTGTTTAAATATCTAAAGCAGGGGTGCCACGAAGGTGGATCAGACTCTTCCCGGTGGTGTCAAGGTCACGAATCAACAGGCAGGGAACACAGCTTGGGAAAATTACTGAAACTTTACATTTTGATAAACTTATTCTGATATGTCTCAATGAACAAAGCCTGAGAGAGAAATATGTATTATTGAGGTTGAACACCTGGAATGTAATTTATAAAATTATGGACCACAGATGCATTTTGTAGAAACCATTTTGTTGGAGACTAGCAAATAGTTTCTGCATTATAAAGTCCCTACCAGAGAAAAAAAAATACTAAAAAAGACTAAAATTATCGACTAATTAGCATAAGAAGCGAGAAATCAATAACCAATAGAGGGTAGAATAATAACTAATTTTAAAAATGCAATTTAAAACCGATAAGCAATAATTTCTTTGCTTGTTAAAAAGGTATAATTAAATGAAAAAACTTTGTGTGTGTGTGGACGCTGCAATTTGGTCGGTGTGGCCAGAATAAAGTAACGCCTTCCTCGCTAACACTGAAAAGCCGGTGTTGGAGGGTTTAATTTCCCCGGCGGGTTGGGTAAGCAGCTGACGCGCAGCGCTCCTCTCCATCCTCCCCATGCCGGCATTCGGGATCTTTGCCCGGCACAAAGATGGCGGCGGCGGCGGCCCCTCACGGGGCGGGGGCTCGCGCAGGCGCGCTGGGCTTGGCGCGCGCGCTCGGGGCCGCCATGGCGCGGTCGGTGCCGCTGCTGTGGGTGCTGCTGCCGGGGCTGGCGGCGCTGGAGCCGCTCAGCGTGGGGCTGGCCCTCGGCGTGGCCTCGGCGCTCACCGGATACCTGTCCCACCCCAGGTTCTACTGCAACTACGTGGAGTGCTGTCCCCGCGACGGGCAGCGCCTCAACGCCAGCGGTACGGCGGGGGCGGGGGGCGGCCGGGCTGCCCCCGAGCTCGGCCGGTCACTGGGCAGCGCGGCCCGGGGCGTGCGCGGTGACCGGCGGTGCTGAGCTGTCCCTCTCCCCGCAGCGCTGAAGGCGCAGCTGGACAACCGGCTCTTCGGGCAGCACCTGGCCAAGGACGTGGTGCTGAAGGCGGTGCTGGGCTTCAGCAACAACCCCAGCCCTAAGAAGCCGCTGATGCTGTCGCTGCACGGCTGGGCCGGCACCGGCAAGAACTTCCTCAGCCAGATCCTGGCGGAGCAGGTCCACCCCGCCGGCCTGCGCAGCAAGTACGTCCATCTCTTCCTGGCCACCCTGCACTTCCCCCACCACGACCAGGTCAAACTCTACAAGGTGAGGAGGGGCAGGAGGTGGCCCGGTTACCCCCAGCCGGTCCCTAAACCCTCTGCTGAGGGGTGTCCTGCACATCTCCCGCAGGTTCCCGCTGGGATGAGCTCAGCTGATGATGCTGATAATGCCAGGGTTGTGAGTTCGATCCCTGTATGGGCCATTCACTTAAAAGTTGGACTCGATGATCCTTGTGGGTGCCTTCCAATTCAGAATATTCTGATTCATATTCCTGACAGCTGAAGATGTGCAGCTGGGTATTGCAAAGTTGATGCTTAGGAGAGACGTAAGGGGAAGTTCATGCATAAAGTAAAAGGCACCAAAAAGCCGAGAAATCAAAGCCGAGATAGTTTCCATTTCCTAGCGCTATCCTCTCACTGATGCCATCTGCTGATTCCCGTGCTCGCTGCAAGGAGAGTTTGTCGTTCCAGCTGCATTATCCTGGCAGTCCGGGACGGAAGGAACCTTCTCCACGGCCCCCGAGGGGCTGTGTTTTGCGTTTATGGCTGAAACAGTTTTGATGATGCTGAGAACACAGTGGTGTTTTGGCTGTTACAATAGTGCTTGTAGAGCTTCAAAGCTTGCTAGTTTTTCCCACTCATATCGAGCAGGCTGGGGTGGGCAAGAGATGGGGAGGGGGCACAGCCTGGACAGCTGACCCCCGTTGGCCAAAAGGATATTCCATCCCACGTGCTGTCATATTCAGCCATAGAAACGGGGGTTGGAAAAGAAAAAAAGGGGGGCATTGGTTTCTAAGGTGGTTGTTGCTCTAGCTCTGGCTAGACATTGGTCTGCATGTCTTGGGTGATTCTGTTTTCTTGTTTGTTTTCCTCTTTTGTTCACTGGCTGGTGAGTGTGGGATACTGAGATTTGACAGTGTGTCCCCAGAATCTGTCACATACAAAATCTTGCAGTACATCCAGTAAAGACCTTGTTTTTCAGTGGCTTTCAACCTCTTGTTCCAGGAACAGCTGCAGAACTGGATTCGAGGCAATGTCAGTGCCTGTCCCTCCTCCGTCTTCATTTTTGATGAGATGGACAAAATGCATCCAGGTGTCATTGATGCCATCAAGCCCTTCTTAGACTATTACGAGGAGGTTGATGGGGTGTCCTACAGAAAAGCTATCTTCATCTTCCTCAGGTCTGTGCCACCAGTTTCTGTCATTTTGAGATACTGAAAGTTTATTTATGATGATAATCATGCTTTTTGGGGACCTGATTTAAAGAAGAGCAAAAAAAGAGTGCTCAGGTGGGAAGATTCTCTGTGCAAAGACAGTGGGGAGCAGTCTAAGGTTGTACCTGTAGTGGAGCAGGTCTGATGTCACTGCAGTGTGCTGAGCTCATGAAGCTGGCCCAGAGCACAGGATATAAGAGAGTTCACATTTTGGGATGGGTGCACCAAGTGGCTGGCATGGAGTTAACTATCTTCAGAGCAGCTGTTTTGGATTTGTGGCTGTGAGAGTGTTGATAACACACCAATGTTTTGCCCCTTTCTGGATGGTTTGCAAAGCTTCAAGGCTTTTCTCACAGTAGGCTGGGGTGAGCAGGAGGATGGGAGGGACACAGCTGGGACAGCTGACCTCAACTGCCCAGGAGGATATTTAATACTGTGGGCATGCCATGCTCATCAATAAAAACAGGGGTGGAGAAAAAAGTGGGATTTCAGCCTAAAGTAATGGTTCTTTAGCGTTTGCCTGGGAGTTGGTCTGACTGTGGGGTTGGTGAGTGATTACCTCAATCCTCCTTGGATTTTTTTCCTACTCTTCTTTCTCTTCCTATTAAACTATATTTATCTTGACCTACAAATCTTCAGACTTTTGATCTTCCTATTTTCTCCTTCCATCCCACTGAGGCAGGAGGGAGTAAGCAAGTAGCTGTGTAGATGCTTGGCTGCTGGCTGGGGCAGCCCACCACACACTGATGGCTACTTAAAGAACTGGAGACTTTGCCTAAATCTTGGCTTACAGGATTCTTTTTGATGATTTGTTTGATATCAAGGTGATCAGCAATATGTGTAACTGGCTGCAAAAGAAATTCTGGTTCAGTTGTGTCTGTATTTCACCACTGTACATTTTTCTTTTATGATCAGCAATGCAGGTGGTGATTTAATTAACAAAGCAGCTCTTGACTTCTGGTTAAGTGGAAAGCGCAGGGAAGATATTCAGCTGAAAGACCTGGAGCCCTTGCTCTCTGTAGGAGTCTTCAACAACAAGAATAGTAAGTCACTTTGCCCCAAAAAGGGAAATTCATGCCTCAGTGGCTGAGACAAACTGTTCTGTGAATTTAGCCTGCCCTGTGGATCCTGTCATATGCAGGATAAAGTTTAGAGAAACTCCTTCTTACGATTTTTTTTTCCCTCCCAATTTATCCAGGTGGGCTGTGGCACAGCAGCATCATTGACAGGAACCTTATTGACTACTTTGTCCCTTTCCTGCCCCTGGAGCAAAAGCATGTGAAGATGTGTGTGAGGGCTGAAATGACAGCCCGTGGCTATGCTGTGGATGAGAATATTGTTCAGGCAGTGGCTGATGAGATGACCTACTTCCCCAAGGAGCAGAGGATCTACTCTGACAAAGGCTGCAAGACTGTACAGGCCAAGTTGGATATTCACGAAGACCTTGTGATGAGAGAGATGAAAGCCAGGGGTTGATTTTCCACTTTGAGTCTCCAAAGCACTTTCAGAGTGCTTTGGAAATCTGTGTATTTGCACTTACACTTTTTTTACTGTTGCAGGGAGTATGGTGAAAATACCAGAGTGAGCTGTATGGGCTTTGTAGCTTGTGTGTTTGGTTTTGTTGGTTTGTTTGTTTTTTTTTTTTTTAACTTAACATAGAATTGGGACTTAGAGATGATCTAGTGCCATCCTCTGCCATGGGCAGGGACACTTTCCACTCAATCAGGTCATCCAGCCTGGCTTTTAAGCGCTGTGCATCTTTGAGCTGGCTGGCATCCCAGTGTTGCCCCTTCTTTTAATCTATAGAGAATTTCTAGTGTGACACACAGCACTGGATACAGCCTCTCCTGCTTTATTCTTCCAAGTGCTGGGATTATTAAGTATTTAATTCCTCTTTCCACATAAACTAGATTGGAACAAAGGAAAACAGAGGAATTTTTCTAGATTGTCATACTCCCTTCCATGTACACATTCATAGTGAAAGAGGGATGTGTGCTGTATTCTGAACTATGATCATGTCTGCAAGGGTGAACTTAGTGCATTGCAGATGCAAGATGATATGGTAGAAGTCTTCCTGTGCTTCAGCTGGGCATCATCCTACATCTCCTAGTACAGTAATATGGGAAGTTATTCTGAGCTCCTAGAAATCTGTTAGTAAATAATAGAGAGCAGAGGAAGAGGAAGTAAGAGTTTGCCCCATGTTTCGTTGGGGAAAAAGAAATTGTTAAATGTTCTTTAAAGGGGCTACATAAATTTGTGACTCCAGGTCTTCCTAAACTGAGGGACCCATCTGAGAGATTTGTTAAAAAATACTAAGCCAATCTTCTGTCCTTGAGCAGAAAACCTCTCATGAGAATTCGACTGTTGCAGTTTGTCAGGTTAATCTATGTGTGGGCTTCTGGGCCTGAAGAATGTAAGGTCTTTAGTAGTCCCTGTCCACTGCTCCTAATGGTCAAGGTGTGGATAATGCTGCTCTCTCCTTGCTTGGAAGACACTTGAATGGAAGAAATTATTTTTAATAATGTATTTTTATGCTGAAGTGTAAGCAACAATTCTATACCTCACTAGTTAGGTATGTTATATAGTCGCTTTTAACATTAAAAATGCTTGTGTGAAAGGTTGAGTTAAAAAGCTGGGAAAGATCAATTTAACCTTCACCCAGTAGGGAGACTGGGTTTTAACCACTGTTGCAAGCTTTAACTCTTAGTCTCCCATCATTTGTGTATCGAATGTTGTAATGCAAGACAGAAGTGCCTTTCACTTTGATTGAACTGTGGTTTTAAATTGGTACAAGGGATGGGGCCGGTTTTGTGCTGCATCATCTATTCCCTCACTTGTTCTTAAACTTCCTTTCAGAAGTGATGTTAAATTATAGGTCTCATTACAATTATGCTAATTCAGATTACAACAGAGTTTAGCGCTGATGTTAAGCTCTGAATTAAAAGTGTTGATTACCTTTTACAGCTCCACTGGAGTTTGTCAAATGTTGGCAAACTGTTGACACTGATGCAACCTCCAGAGCCAAACACTTGCAAGCCTAACCTTGGGACATTGGACTGTCACTTTTCAGTGTGATGTTTTGCTTATTAACTGATTTGTTCATAGTTGTATATGCTGCATCCAGTTTCACTTACTCCAAAAACAAAATATTTGTGCTGTTTCAAAACACTAAATACTACCGTACTGCAGTTGGAATAAATCCTAAGTTACTTCTTCTCTCTTGGTTAATCATTTTCATATATAGGAAAGTATTACTTTGTGCAGTTTGCAAACAGCTGCACTGCACGTTTGTGTTACACTTCCTTTGTAGGTGTGGAGCAGCTGTTGGCAGCAGCTCACACCTCACTGAAAGGTGAGTTGTGAACCACCTGTTGTGCTCTAAGGATGCACCAGGAAATGTCAGGGAGCTGCGTGGGAAGCACAGGCTCTGCTGTTCCCTGGGACTGTCCCAGGGACAAGCTCTGGGGCCAGGCTGCCTCGGGCTGGCAGGACAGCAGCACTTTCTATTTCAGTGAATTTAAATCATGGCCTCTGATTTTATGAGCACAGTGTGAGATCTCAGAACACTGCCTGCAGAAAGTTGAACTAAAGCAGCAGCTGCTTGTCCTGGACTGCTAAGAGCAGAATTCACTCTTGGGACTGCTCAGCTCCTCTCACCTGGCCAATGGAGTGTTTCTCTGGGCAGCAGACCTCTCTCCCATGACATTTTCCTTTAAGCTGTTTGATCCAGTCTTAAATGGCCTATTAAATACAATAATGGCTAAAGTTACCCAGTCATAGCAAGAAAGTGAGAACCTTAGCTCTGAAACCAAGCAGAGGAATAACAGCAGGATCAGAAGGATCAAAGCTGGGGCTGATTTCAGGCACAGCTCTGTCTTTTACCCAGATGGAGCTGCCCTGGGCCAGGTCTGCAGAACAGAAATGATTAAACAGAGGCAGTCCCCCCCCTTTCCACATCATTCCTGCTCTCCAGAGGAAGCTTCCATCTACCCTGGGCCCTTCAGGGTTGTGATACAATGAAATACTGGCCACCAATGTGTATCAAATGCTTGTATTGATGCTGCACTGGCACACAAAGCAGAACTAAAATAGTTCTGGAAGAGCCACAAGACAGCTTGGCTGTACTGATTCTCTTGGTACCAGACTGTAGTAGTACAAGTTTATCATCATTACATCTGCTTTTTCCCATGAGCCAGTTATTTGCTATAATCAGGAAGCAAAGAAGCAGATAAATATCTGCATTCAAAGCACTCATTTGCTGACAAATAGTAGGATTGAGAATTTGCATATCACACACATTCAGAGCAAGTGGACACTTGGAGTCTCGCTGGCCTTTTTTTTCCCCCTTGCAAAGAAAACTCCAAGATGCTGCCACTGAAAACGTGAGTGGCTTCAAACAGAGCCTGCAGTGTTCAGGCAGTGGTAGCACAGTGGGAGGAGGGGATGAGCAGCAGGGTTTTAGCTGGTCTCTACAAGACAAGTCCATCCTTATTGAGCACACATGCAGTGGGGAAGTCTGCCTCTACAAAAACCACGCAGCTGTAATTAGTATAAACAGTAATTAGTTTAAACAGCCCAGAAATGCAGTTTCCACTCCAAGCTTGATTTGTTTCACCAGACAGCAAAGAGTCACATCTCCTATCTCTCTGCCCTTTGAACTGCAGAAGGGACATACCTGTACTCAAGCACAGCTTGAACAGCCAGGAATGCAGTGTGCTCTTCCTCAACATGGAGTAAATTTGTGCAAAATTAGTATCAAATCACTCAATGCAAAGAACACCAGAAGGTAGCTAAGAAAGAAATTTCTGATGAGCAAATTTTATTTTGAACAGCAACTGGAATGAAAAAAGCCTCTGCAGTGCTCACATTCAGAAACAAGTCTGACACCCTTCACAGTACCTTCAGTGGACACATTTTATGGGCTTTTTTTTTTCAAATGCCTTTAGATTTGCCTCCATCCATGCCCCAAAGGCACACAGTATGGTAAGAAGATGAAAAAGGGAAACCCCTGCAAGCTGACCTCTGAACTCAACATGTAAATGAAGACATTTCCATGGTGTAAAATTTAATCTGTACACATTTCCCATGACGTTGCAGTCTTTCCATGAAGCTGACTCACCACTCCCAGAGCACAGTTCTCTCCTGGGAGAGCCTGCTGTGGGCAACTTTATACATAAAGACTAATTTAAAACAGGAACTAAGTACACCAGTTGTGGCATTTAATGATTTTAACTCACTTCCTTGTAGTATTAAATCTACTCTCTGAACACTATTCACAACAAAGAGTTTTATATTCTTGGTTTGACACATTTAAGACTAAATTATACCTTGGTATTGAAAAAGACAATGGCACTGTGTAATGTTGTATAGAAGAGCCCAGATTTTTAAATTCCAGAATCCCCCCCTTATCTTTACTGAGCCCAAGCTGTTGAAGGCAAGAAGACACATGTTCTATTTTTAATGCATATTCCCACACAGGACCAATGAAGGCTTTCAGAGACACAAGAACTTTGATTAAAATTCTCCATATTGTCTAGAGATCATCAACATCAGAGCAAAATTTAATTAAGTCATAGTTTCAGTCCTTCTGTACCTGTCAAGAGTCTGCCAGAGGGTTCTGATGATCAACACATGATTTAAGGAGTCTTGAGCCCTGCCAGATCCAGGAATTCCCAAAGCAGTTCTTTCTTACCTTCACAGCACAAGGCTGAAGCACTCTGGAGCCGTGACTGGTGACAAAAATGCAGAGGCACTGCTGCTTATTTACACACCAGTTAAAAAAAATAGTGTTCCTTTCTTTAAAAAGTACTTAAAAATGAAATGTCTCAGGTCCCCCACTTTGTGATTAAGTTAAATTTGCTTCGTTGCAGGTTGTAGCAATAAAGCATTAGAAGTCATAATAATAATCCAGCTTTGCATCCACAGTTTTACATCCTTTATCTGAATAGATTCTCTCCTCTCTGGGGAAGTAGGTCATCTCGTCAGCTATCCTGCTCACAATGTCTTCATCCACAGTGTAGCCACGTGACTCAACCTCAACCCTGACACACATTTTCACATGTCTGTATTCCAGAGGCAGGAAAGGAATGAAGTAGTCAATGAGGTTTCTGTCAATCAAGGTGCTGTGCCAAAATCCACCTGTGAAGGGAAAGAGAAGAGGTTTGTTAGTATTTCTCTAGTTAAACACTACCACAGGTTGAATGGGAGCAAGGGGCACATCCTAGCTGGGATTTTAGGGCATATAATGCACAAGTCAATACAAGCCCCTTCTCGTGTTACTTTGTGCATAAAATTTTGGACAGACACATAAATGTGGTTCTTTAGGCTGAATGAATGAATTTTGACTGTGCTTGAGCCTTGCTCTGAAGGTATGATTTCATACCTTTCCCCCTCTCACCTAGAGAGGGACAGATTTTCTCTCTCCTATCAGCTCTCCCAGACCAGTTTTCTTATTCCTTTTTTTGGAGCTTGTATCTCAACTTTTTAAGAAGTACAGTGAGTTTGCTTCCAATGCTAAATTTAGAGCATAATTATGTTAAAACTCCTTTTCACCAGAAGTGTGAGGAAACTTATGAAGCACTTCCCCCAAAAGGTGCAGTCCAACAGGCTGGTGGGAAATGAGCACATTGAGCTCCTTAATCTTCACTCATTCTGGGAGCCAACTCCAGGCCCCAAAACTGCATTTTTGCTCCTCACAAACCAAAACCTGGAGGCCACATCAAGAAGAAACCATAGCTTATAAAAATGCAGCTAAATGCAGCCCATCCCTTTTGTGTAACTTTTACCACCTCAAAATCGATCCCAGTTTCACTCACTATTTTTGTTGTTGAAGACTGACACAGAGAGTGCATTTTGGATATCTGTGAGCTGGATATCTTCCCTTGTCCTCCCATTTCTCCAGAAATCTAGTGCTACCTCTGTTATCTTTTCAGCTCCTGCATTGCTAAGCAAAGAAAAAACAGAGATTGTAGTCGTTTTAAAAGTTGAAGTTATGAAGTAAAAAGCATGGAGTGTACAGAACAGCAACCCTGAGTAGGTGTTTTACCTGAGGAAGATGAAGATGGCTTGTCTGTAGGACACCCCATCCAGCAGCTCATAGTAGTCCAGGAAGGGCTTGATTGAGTCAATGAGTCCTGCGTGCATTTTATCCATTTCATCAAATATAAACAGTGACCGGGGACAGATGCTCACATTTCCCCGAATCCACGACTGCAACTGGTCCTGAGTGCCATAAAAATGAAAGATGCTGAAAGAGTTTGTGTTGAAAAGACAGAAAAAATAGCACTTTCTGTTTATGGAACCTCGCCCTGAAGGAATTGTTTCAGTGGTGTCATTTTAACAGCTTTGCCTTCTTGACTAAAACATGGTTACAAGCTGTAAATGAAACCTCAACAAAATCTCATGCTGGTTCTGAAAAATTTTAAGATATCAAGAGACAGGATGGGAGAAGCAGAAATTCTCCTAGATATTCCTATAAAAAGCAAAAATGAAAGTGCACAGTAGGACAAAAAATGAGTCCCACCAAGGAACAGCCACACAAAGCCAAGCTCTGACAAGCCAGATGATGACTTCTGGCAGCACTTTGGTCTAAACAAATATAAGCAATATTAAATTTGCAACCTGGCAGCAGCAGTGAGAAATTACACCTGCAGTCACTGGAAGAAGCAGAAACAAAATGTAACTCTCTGTGTTTTAATCAATCAGAAGTTAAATGAAGACAATTACAAGTCCTTCTTAAAACAGTTGTCCAGAAAGGCTAAGGCTTTATTGCACTGAAAGAGTCTCTCACTTAAGCATTGCATTTGCATCTTGAGTATGACATTCAAGATCAATAATGCATTACTTGGGGGCAAAAGGGTTGATGTGCTGGTAGATGAATGAGATATAACTGTTCTGACTGTTTTCAGTGATTCATCACTTCTGTATTTAGTCTACTCAGTCCCTGAACTGCAGGTGTATTGGGGATAAGCAGCAATACTTCCTCCTACTGCCTTGGGCAGCAAATTTCCCAAGTGCATTCACCTCAAAACAAATGCAGAAAACCATCATTTTATTTCAAAATAGCTCAGTTAAAAGAAGGGGGAAAATAAGTTGTAAAAGAGGAAATGATTTCTAAATGAAGGAAATAGACAAGTTTGTAGACCATCCTGTTCCCATTTTTAACACATACAAACTGAATATCAACATGCAGTACTACAAGACAGTGGTAATCATTCAAACTGTGCAGTGAACAAAGATAGAACAAAAGCAAACATAAAACACATCTGAGCTACTGCTCCATGGTCTCTCCCTGCCTTCAGAACTGACACAATTACAAATACATTTACTTGTACCTTTCTGACAGCAGAGTATTTTGTGATTTTGCTTTACAGGTTGGTTGGAAATGGATCCATAGAAAACTAAATAACCTGCTCAGTGTGCAGTAGAATAGACAATGATGCCTCAGAGAGCCAGTGTGAGCTTGCCATGGTGCCTGACAACCTGGGGGGTCACTGGGTTGTTTCCCAGAGTCATGAACGATTTGGTTTTTTGCAGTGCCCACCAACACATCACCTAACCAGGAACTGTATTTATCCTTAAGTCAGTCCCATCTCTAAGCGAAGTGCAGAATGAAAATTAAACCATATGACTCTGCCCTAAAGACAGGCTCAAAACGCATGCATAAAATTTCACATTCACGGGAAAACCAATCCTGACAGATGTTAGGATCTACACAATTCTGTACAGAAGACTGCAAAACTGGCATAGCATACACGTTACTGCATAAAATAACATCTAGGTCTGATGTACTGATCCTGCCATTACATTTATAACTCATTGCAGCACAGCTCGTTCTTACCTTGTAGAGATTGATGCTGTGAGCGTGAGGAAAGTGTAAAGTTGCCACGAACTGATGGACATATTTACTCTGCAGACCTCTTTTATAAATGCTTTCGGCGACGATCTTACTGACAAAGTTTTTGCCTGTTCCAGTCCACCCGTGCAAGGAAAGCGCGAGAGGCTTTTTGGCGTTGGTATTGTTCAAGAAGCCCCTCACGGCTTTTACAACCACCTTGCTCACCAAGTGCTGCCCGAACAGCTTCTTGTCCAAATTCTCCTGCAGAGCTGCATGGAGAGACCACAGTGTCAGCGGGCGGGGAGCGGCCGCCGGCCCCGGGCAGGGGCCAAAGGGCCGGGCAGGAGCGGCGGCTCCCGGGGAGGCCCCGCGGGCTCTGCCCGGCTCCCGGAGCTGCCCCGGCGCCCTCCCGCCACCTCCCCTCAGCCCATCCCGCTCCCGCACCGGCGGCGGCGCGCTGGTCGTGCCGGTGCAGGCAGCACTCCCTGAAGTAGCAGTAGAGCCGCGGGTAGGAGATGAAGCCGGTGAGGGCCGAGGCAGCGGCGCCCGCGATGGCGAGTCCCAGGCTGATGGGCTCCACGGCGCCGGCCGGCGTGAGGAGCGGCAGCAGCACCAACGCCAGGGCCGCCCGCAGCGCGCCCCGCCGCAGCTTCATCGCCCGCCCGGCCCAGCCGCCCGGCCGCCGCTTCCGCCCCTCGGCGCCGCTTCCGCCGCCGCCATGGCGGGCGCTGGGAGAGGCGGAGCCAGCGCTGAGGCGGCCGCCATGTTTGGGCGGGAACGGGCGGGGCCAGCTGAGGGGCTGAGGTGCCGCCGCCATGTTTGCTGCTGCTGTCGGCAGAGGGGGGCGGCCCCGGGCAGTGGAGTTGTTAAATATTCTGTGGCCGTATCGCCGAGTGTTAGAATGGAGGAATCAAAGAATCATCATGGTTAGAAGAGATCTTTAACGTCATCATGTCCAACCGTCCATCCAGCACTGTCACTGTAACCCCATAACCACTAAAACCCACACCATTCAGTGCCACATCCCAACACCTCTTTAATACCTCCAGGAATGGTGCTCCACCACGTCCCTGGGTATTCCCTATTCCAAAGGGACCAATTCCAAAGCCTGACCACCCAAACGGCAAAAAAATTTGTTTCTAATATCTAATCTAAATATCCACTGTCTCAGATTAAGGCCACCTGTTCAAGGGATCCTCTGCTGACCTGCACAGGGCACAAGCTCCGGCAAATTCACCCCTGGCCTGGCACAGAAATTCTTCCCCTTTTCTGAGAAAAAGTGAAATCTGAGGTTGTCTCTCCCCACCCTGCAGTTGTCACTTCTGAGCAATGGGACAACCTGGCCATCAGCACCATCAAAACCCACAAACCAGGAAAAACCCATCAGCATGAATTCCAGAAGAAAAAATGCTACGATAACTTAAAAAACACTTTTACTGTTTCAAGTTACAAATCTTCACTATAAGTACCCACACTGCACTTCTGGGGAAGACATGTGGACAAGAAGACGAGCTCCCAAGAGCATTACATTTACAAAGCAAACAACATTGCTGCTTTTAAAGGATCTCTGTTTTTTTAGTATTAAGATGGTGAAAAGAAAAATCTATAAAAGCCAATTTGTTTTCTCACTAAAAAATGCCAACCATGAAAGCTCATTTTCCATTATAAAACTTAATTTATAAGAACATATTTATATACAAAGTTACACCAACCAAAGAGTTCACAATCACCTGCAAACTGATTCACTACAAGATCACACGGGAAAAGCTTCGTAGGTAACATCAGCATCTGAAGGTAGAGACTCTCCCAACATCCATCGCAGGTCACTGACACAAAATCCTTTATTGGCGGAAAATAGGAACAACTCCACAGGCTTCAGTCCATATTCATCAGTATCGCCTGTTCATCTTCTTGAACTTCTCATAGTGATAATCATCTGTGGCTTTTTCATTGAGGGGACGTTTGCGATTTGGAGGAGACCCTTCAAAAGAAAAAGAAGGAAATTTTATATCCTTGTTCTTTCATTTCAGGAGACATTTCCTGAACTCTGCCACCTCCCTTAGACAGCCCTTCATTATGTGAGGTTATTCCTTACACCCTTTGCTTTTCCACCAAACCCTTGTCAGACAGCTTTGGCAACACTTCAGCCGTGACACCTTCACCTCTCCACCCCTGAGCATCTCCACAGACATCCTCCATCCAGAATTTCAGGTGTGATCTAGTGGTGCAACAGCCAGCTCACTTAGACTTGGACTGCTCCACTCTCACTACCTCAGGGTGCTCAGAGAAGAGGAGGCAAGCACAGCCAGATCATTCCTGTGTACAACACCCCGAAGAGCTCCAGTGTCTCCTTACAACCATTCAGATTTGGAACTCACGCTCAGGCTCTGGCCTCTCCGTGTCCCCCACTCTCAGTGGACGGGGCTTTGGCTCCTCCTTGTTCCTTCGCACTGGTGCATTCAGCTCCTCATGATAAACTGCAAGAAGGAAAACATCAGATAAGGAATGTTATCTGGAGCACTCTTGGATAAATTTCTAAGCCTTTGTTATAAGTGATCTTTACCAGAAACAACAGAAATTCAGAACCACCCTTCTTGGAATTGGTTTCTATAGCGAATTAGGCAAGATGGGGCAGAGCAACTGTGTCAGGAGAGACATTCAAAACTTACATCTGTTGTGCTGGACATAATTAACAGCCATGTTGGTGGGAACAAAGGAAGTTTCACTGTCTTTCTTTTTGTTCTGCTGCTCTGCCAGCAGCTTGGCCTTGGCCTCTTCAGTTGAGATGATGTTTTTTATTTTTGCACTAGAAGAAAAAAAAAATAGTCATAGAAAAGGTAGCAGGCACAGAAGTGCCTTTTCCCAGAAGCCATAGGATGGAGCTGCACTTAGCCCTGGGGCTGTGTAGGTCGTGCTGTGCTAATTACCACACCAATCTAGAACAAGGCTCAATCCCACCCCATCCCAAACTGGGGCTGGGTAATCCAGGCATAGCACTGCTCTGCCAGCCAACAGCTGCTCATCCTGTCAGTCCAGGCCAGCACCCACAGATCTGTGGAACACATACTCAATTCCCAGGTCCACTTCAGGAATGCCACTCAGCATCTGGTTGGACAACATCTCCTCAGTCTTCTTGGCAGAGGAGACACGGATGTTCTCTGGCAGCTCATATAGGGAGTCCTCAGCATTCTTAAGCTTCACCTTCTGCTCCTCGTTCTCCACAATTCCCTTTCTCTTCTTCAGCTCAGTCTCAATGTATTTCATCCTAAACAGCAGCACACAAGGGACAGGACATTCAATTCTGCTCCTGTACTCTGCTCCAGCACTGCTGGAGCACAGCAGCATCCCTGTCCTGACAACTGGGAGAGAGGAAAGAATCATCTCTCCAAAAGCACTCAGCTAATACTAGTAGCAAGAATTAATTGTCCAAGAAACAATCAGATCCTCCAAGGTCTTTGACAGCCAGCAGGGAAGGCTCTCACTGGGATTTAGTGCCAAGATGGCTGGTTGGCACCCCCTAGCTTTTTCCATGAAAAAAGCTTCTCAATTCTGGCAGGCAGGAAGTGAAAGGGCAAAGGGAAACTTTCAGTGAGAACTGGGAAGATGTCCTGGGATTACTCAGAATCCACGACATAAAAAAATAAATGGTGAAGGGCCACCCAGCCTGATTGAACACCAGAGACACAACATTACTCACATGTCAGCATCTTCATCCCTCCTGTTGGTTTCTGCTGAGAAGGAAGTTCCCAAGTTCAGATCTTCCTCTTCATTAATCCTAAGTGGAAACCACATTTACAGGTTTTGGTGGGTTTTTTTGTTGGCTGTTAGGGTTTTTTGAGAGAGGTTTGTGTGTGTAGTTTTTTAAAAGTAATTTAACAAGTTAGAGCAAAAGTAACTGGCCACGCATTATATGAAACTCTTCAAAATGACACAACCTCTGGTTAATTATTACTAGTTGTCGTTAAATACAAGTCCAGGGAGAGATTTTCAGAGCTCACTGCACTTACCTGTCCTTGCCTCTTTCTTTCAGCTTTTTCATGTCCACCATTCCCCCAGATTTTATCTTAAATGGGTCATCCTGTAAAACAAGAAATAACAAAAACCCCTGAAGCTTCCCTCTAGTTTAATGCTAGTCTTCAAAATCTGGATAAAACCACAAGACACATTTAAGAATTGAGTTATGACATCAGTCCTGCCCCAGGCCAGACTGACAGTGCTCTCATACCATCACATCTGAGCCCTGAGGTGATGGAATTGTCCAGCACTTACCACAAGTGTGGCTTCTTCTTGCAACTTCTCTCCCACCAGCAGAGCTACAGCACTGGTCAGGCAGATAAAGAAAGAAGATAAAATTCAGAAGGTAACACAGTACCAACGTTACTGCATTGCTTTATCCTTCTCTAAGTCTCCCTGCCTTTTCCATCCTCAGGCTTTAACATAGAAATTCCTCTGTCAAGAACATAATTTTGGCAGTGTCTGACATAACGGTTTGTACTGGAAGGAGGCAGATGACAGGAGAGAAATTGACTGTCACATCACACCCCAAGACACAGTTTCCCCTCCCCAGTGCCACATCCCTTACCTCACCCCATTGGGCCGCTTTCTGAGGCTCTGAACTTCTTTGGCTTCCTCAAGTTTTAATCTAAAAAAAACCCCAAACATTTGACTTAGTACTTGATGTTAATAAATTCATTTTATTTTCTGCAGTTAACACAGAATTTTCTATTTATCTTTGTCCTAAACCTCTGCAGATCAACATCCACTTTTCAGATTTCAAGTTAAATAGGTATTTTCTATTTATTTAAGCAATTCCACACATTTGAGCAATCAATCGGAAAAAAACTAAAAACAGAACAAAAAAACTTAAAAGGATTTGTTCCTTTCTGATGCCTTCCCTCAGCTGAGGAATGCAGCACCAAACACCGGAAGGCTTCAAGGAGAAGCCAGTTTGGGAAGCACAAGCCAAAATACATCCAGGCATGAGTGACTCTGAAGAAAGTCGATGGTGAATTGAATTCTCAACTGTTTCTCTCTAAACTGAGAGGAATCCGTAATTTCTGGGATCGTGTAACACTGTGACGCACGCTGTGACGTCAAGCCACAACACGGCAATGTGACGTGACGTCACCGCTCCCAGCACAGCCGTACGTGACGACACGACACGACACGACACGACACGACACGACACGACACGACACGACACGACGTCGCGCCGCCCGGACACCGCACTGCTGGACTCAAACACACCCGGGGTCCCGTCCCGTCCCTGGACCGCCGCAGGATCGAGCGCCGCTGAGTTTCCCGCTGGGCCCGGCCGTGTTCCCCGCCGGCGCCCGACCCACCTGACCTCCTCGGCGAGCTGCTCGTCCTCCTCCTCCTCCTCCTCGTCCTCCCTGCGCCGGCGGAAGGATTTCTGGCCCGGCATGGCTCTGGATTCTGCTCCGCGTCGCGGCCGCCACACCGCCGCTTCCCTCCCGCCGCTGCGGCGCGCGGCGATGACGCCACAACCCCGCGACGAAGCCGCGCGACACCGCCCCTGTGCCCGCACCTCGGCCGGGCAAGAGCCGCGGGGCCGGGAGCGCTCCCTGCCCTCCCGGACGGGGCTGGGAGCCCTCGTGCCCGCCCCACCCCCGGCCCATGCACTGTCTTTTCTGAGAAGACCTCGTGTAAGTTACGAGGGTCGTTCTATTTCTCGCAATCCCGGCAGAGCAGCCTCTGCCGGTGGCCGGTGCCTGTCAGGGACACCGTGGAGAGAAGGCGCCGTGGGGAGCGTCGGTCCCACAGCCGGGTTGACAGCGCAGCCCTTAGGGCGGGACGTGGCTCCTTCACCCGGCTGCTCCCCGCTGACCAAGGCACCGAGCCGCACTGTTGGGTCCCCGGCCGAACGGGCTGGGGTTCGCCCCTCCAGCACCCACCGTGGTGGCTGAGCCCCGAGTGCTCGGGGAGCCCCCGGGCCCAGCCCCGGGACCCCGCGGGGTCAGAGCCGCCACCGCCTCCTCCGCTCGGTCCCTCCCCGCCCCGCCCCACCGGGCCCGGCCCCCGCTCCTCCCCCGGCCTGCGCGGCACCGGCCGCTCCTCCGCCGCTTCCCCGCGCTGCTCGGGGCCCACGTCCCTTCCCGGCGGCCCGGCCTGGGGCGGGGGCGGCGACGGCCCGGGCACCCCGCAGGTGAGCGAGGGCCGCGGGCGGGGGCGGCGGGGCCGTGGCCGCGGGGCTGTGCGGAGGGAGGGCGGCCGGGCCGCGCCGGGGATGATGCAGCAGCAGCGGCCGCGGGAGCTCCGGCCCGGGTCCTGCTGTGCCCCGGCTTTGGGGCGGCCCTGCACCCCCAGGGCTGGTGCTGATCCCAGCAGCGAGACCTTGCGGCTTTGGGCTGTTTGTGTTCAGCCTCGCTCGCGTCTGGCAGCTATAACCTCTGTCAGTAGAGGACTTGTGTTTTGGGGGTCTGCTGCGCTTGAGGAGTGACATAGCGGGCAAGGGGGAATTTCCCGCAGGTGTTTTTTGCCTGAAAGCTTAGTCTCTAGGTGAGTCGTTGTGTCGTGACCTCCCATAATAAATCAGCGCTCAGACCTGCTCCCTTTGCGTGTTGCACATAAACCTCCTGGTTTTCCCATAACTGATGCAGCTCCGAGCCAGGAGCACCTGCTTTCTGCTTCTGCTTTGTCAGTAGGGCAGTTCAGTAAATATTTCTTTCTTCAGTACCTCAAGTATAAAATGTCTCAGAGCACAACTGCAGATACTTCTTTCTCTTGGTAGGTTATGCAAGACCAGACCTGGTAGTTGTTTTGTGGATTAGCAGTGCAAAGATTTCTTTTATTTGTACAGTTGCTTCGAAGAATGTCAGCCTGCATGAATCTGAAACTCTTGACAGCTGGCTCTAGCTTTGGTACAAAAACACACAGTTGTTTTAAGAAAAACAACCAACGAAAACCTAGAAATGTGTTCCTGTAGAAGGCAGAGTCGCTGGGTTTGGCAGCAGCTGAAGCGACTGAAAGTAGGTTGCAGTTACAGAGGAATTGTTCTGACGTGCTCGTGTACTGTTCTCCTTCAGTGGTGCTCGACAAAGACAGGCTGAAGGACTTGTTTTAGGGTAACTTGTTTTCCCGTCATACACAGTACATTTTGACAAGCACAGTTCAGCTCTCTGACAGTGCTTTTCTGAAATTCCTGGTTTTCTGAGCAGAATTAGAGTTGTGTGTACCATCTGTAGCTCTTAGGGCAGAGTCGTGGGAAGGCATAAGTTGAATATTTCCTTCTGAACCTTTTTCTGGTGTGTGTGGTCAGGGCTGAGAGGCAAAATTGAGGTTTTCCCAGCGTTGTTCAGAAAGGGAAGCCCTGTGTGGTAAGATCAGCACCCTAGTGCTGGAAAGTCTAAAGACATGGTTTTAATTTTGAGGAGAGGGGTGGTCCCACAGAATGCACTGAAACCATCCACATCCAGAAGACTCTACTTAACAAAATGTGCTTCAAAACCAGTTCTCAGTTAGCTTAAGCTGGTGAAGATATGGGGTCTGGAATTAATTTTAAAACAGTATTTTGTTCATTAGATTTTCTGGGGGACATCTGGGAGAGAGATAAGAAATCAAGGATGGTGAAATAGCAAATGTAGCATTGATACTTTTTAATTGGACCAGCTGATGCATTTGGGGGAAGGGATCTGTTTTGGTGAAGGAATTCTGAAATGTCTGAAATGTCCCAGTTTTCTGTGTTAGTCAAACCTACTGTGCTCTTGTCATTTATCTTTTAAATCAACATGTGTTACACGGTGCTGTGTTCCTTCTCTGTGAAGCTGCATGAAATTGCTCTGTAACCTCTGAAATTCTTTTCACAGGTTACTGAGATCCAGGTCAGCACCCCTGTGGTGTTTTCTACCATGCACATATGATTTCTTCTCCCTCTGCTCCTCCCATCAGTTATTCAGTTCTAAAGAGTGCTGGGAAAACAGTATAAAATTATCCTTGAGGTTTATCTTCTGCCAAGACAAGGTGCTAGGCAAGGTTTTCCACTCCCAAGATAAGTGTTACTGATATGGCCTACTAGTTTGTAATTTTTTTTCTTTTCTCCCTACTGTCAGTGATTCAGACCAGATAATACTGGGAACTGTTTCAAATGTCTTCAAAATGTGAAAAAAAGCAGAGTGTAGCAGCCATGCTGCTTCTGGAGTCATTAACATCAAGTTCATCAGATTTTTCACTTCTTTGTTGCAATGATGTGGGCTCTTCACATCTGCTTCATTTCCAGCCAACTGTAATATTTTGGATCTTTGTCTGTGCTATTAATACCACTTATCTTCTTTTCTATTTTTTTAACAGCCACGAGCAAGGTTATTTAAACTATGCTTAAGAAATACAAACTCTTCATTTTTTTGTAACTGCATGTTACTGAGACATGTTTAAAGTCTTTTACATATCCATGGACCACCATAAAAGTGTTTATTGTGTTCATAAGCTATGAAATCATCTGTTCTTGTGGTGCTTGGATGTATGAGCTGGGTGGAAAAGTGAGTTTTTATGTTTTGTACAGACTTTGAGTTATGTGGCTCATACTGTTAAAAATCTACCCATGAAATGGTAAATTCCTCAGAGACTGAAGCCTGCTTATCAGTGTTACAGTTCATTTAAGTCTATTTCCCTCTTGGCCAGCTTCATTTAGAACTAATCATATTTTTAATGTTTGATGAAGTAATGTAACAACGAAATGTTAGATTCAGATCAGCACAGTTGGGTGCATGAAGCTCATAGACACCACAGGCTAAGTACTGGTGTCATAGGCTACAGCATCTTTCACTTTTCATCAGAGTTTCATGCAAATGAGCTAATTAGATTTGTATCTTTGCAGCTGAAGCTGTGCCTGTGTGCCCAGCATTTCTGACAGCACATTCCATGATATGGTTTATTAGCTTTATTTGTTTCTCTCTCCTCCCCATGGCTTTGCTCCTTCCCTGCAATTCCACAGTGCAGCCACTCAGCAGTGAGGCCAGATTGTGCCCGCTTGTGGGGCTCCAGGTTTAGATTTGTTTCAATCCCTGAACCTTAAAGATATATGTGGAGCTCTAATATGCAAAACATGCCCAAGTATCTTCTTACAATCATGAGAGCAAATGTGACATGTAGTGAAAGGAACCATCCTTTTTTGTCCTAGGAAACCCTCCTCACATGAGTGTTGGTGAAAATGGGGGATACAAGGGACATCTGTCCTCACCTGGATTCCATAGGAGAGGTGACCAGGGATGATCTGCTGCTCAAATCCAAGGTACAGGGTTGTGGCTCTGAGTCCTTTCCCTTTTAGCTGTTGTGCATGGATTTGCATGTTTGCTTTTTGAAGAAAATGCTGCCTATCTCCAGAGAGAAACTCTCCTTCCCCCACTGATCTACCCACATGTCCCATAAAATCACCTTTTGTGACTCCACAAATTTCTCATTTTATCTTGCTTGAATGTGTCACTTAGCTAAAGTGATGCAATTATGTGTTTGATTGGAAGTGTGGTGTTAAGGAATGAAATACTATGAGCTGATGGTTGGGCTGTTTTACAGAGAAGTTTCTCGCTCTTCAAGGATTTGGTTACTTAAAAACCAACCAAGTAAACAAACCTTCTTTTATTGTGATTATACAGGGAACTTGCCAGTCTTGTGGAGCTGTGGGACCAAACCTCTGGGCTTGTCTTCAGGTAAAAATGGCTTGTTCATGTGCATGATGTGGTGGGGCTTCACTCGAATAGCATTTACACTGAAAAGAGAGTGGGGAGCAAAGAAGGGTTCACACTAGAACTATACATTGTTTTTGATGGTTTCCACGGAGGAGACTCTCTAGGTGAAAGGGTAACACTGTCACAATGTGACAAGATGTAACTGTTCACTCCTTGTAGGGGATTGTCCTGCTGTTCCCAGTAGGAATGAATCGATTCCCCAGTGTTGTTGGCTCGGGGTTACCTCTGCTGGAACCTGTGGAGAGGCTGCAGAGTGACACGGTGGAAGTGAATGCCATGGGACATGCAGGCAGGGACTGTTTATTTTTACACAGGAATGCCCAGCCTTGGGGCTGCTCAGATGGAGCAATGGCCTTGGAACAGAGACTTTGCCTGAGTGCAAACCTGGTTCCAAGTTTTCTTTCTTAAATCATTCTAAATTTCCATCAATTCTAAATTTCCGTATTGTTCTGGGCCCTGAATAAAAAACAGGTTAGAAAACTGGAAGGATAATTCTGAAGTTGCTGCTGCTGCTAGGACTCGAGTTACAGATTGTTTTCTAAAGAGTCTAACTTGATGTGTCCATTGTGCTTTGGCTCTTTCCCCTCTCTAGATTGGTTGTCCTTATGTTGGTTGTGGGGAGTCCTTTGCTGACCACAGCACACTTCATGCACAGGTGAGTTTTTCTCTGTTCCCCACATTTAAACAGACAGAACTGGATTTTCCCAGTCCTGTGCTCCAGCTCAAGCCAGCTGCCAGAGCAAATCTGTTGTTTCATTTTTAATTTCCAGGCCAAGAAGCACAACCTGACAGTGAACCTGACCA